AGAAAAAATTGAGAGAGGAAAGGAAACTATTTATTTGCCTAATATTTGCCAGGCACTGTGTTGCATGTTTCACTTATTTTGACTTATTTAATCCTTATGGCTACCCTATGAGGAATAAATTATCATCATTCCCATTTTACAGATGTAAAAACTGAAGCCCAGAGGAATTAAGTAACTTGCTTAGTGTCATGTAGCTATTGAGGGGTAGAGTTGAGATTTAAGTTCCTGTCTACACTAAGGCCATGGCCATAGTCTTGAAGACAAGATGTTGGACTGGAGAGATTTAGGAAATGATACTTACGTTTGATGCTTATGGCTCTTAAGGCGAAATGAAAGACAGGAAATGAAAGACGGGAAGTTTATAAACCAAACACCTTGTGCTTCATAGATGTGCCTTGGACACACTGCTGATGCTTACATATTGTTTCTCACAAAGAAAGGAGATAGGCATTCCTTAGCATAAGAAGATTAGATTTATTCTCACCCTGACATTTGTTGTTACCATGTTGGGAGGCAGAAGCCTAGTATGCTTTTCAGTGTTTGGAATGTAGATTAAGAAAGAATTTGGGGCACCTGGGTAGCTCAGTCGGTTAAGCAGCCAACTTCGGCTCAGGTCATGATCTCGCAGCTCGTGAGTTTGAGCCCCGTGTCAGGCTCTGAGCCTGCTCTGGATTCTGTGTCTCTCCCTCTCTCTCTGCTTCTCCCCCACTCGTGCACTGTCTGTCTCTCTCTCAAAAATAAACAAACATTTAAAAAAATTTTTTTTAAATAAAAAAGAAAAGAAAGAATTTGCTGTGGGCAACCTAGGTGGCTCAGTCTGTTAAGCATCAGACTCTTGATTTTGACTTGGGTCATGATCTTGAGGTTTTGAGTTTAAGCCCCACGTCAGGCTTCGTGCTGACAGTGTGGGACCTGCTTGGGATTCTCTCTCTCTTTCCCTATCTCTCTGCCCCTCCTCTCTCTCTCTCTCTCAAAATAAATTAATAAACTTTAAAAAAAAAAGGAAGAATTTGCTGAAAATTCTTACTAATTCCTGTTAGTAAATGAGCAATCTTCTGAACAAGTACATTCAAGGTCATATAGCTACATATTCAAGGTATATAACAAGGGCTCTTTGGACCTCTTCCACCTCATTAATTAACCCTTACCCTTATTTTCTTCTCCTCCCCTCCCAACACTGTATATGTTGTGCCTAATTTATATTAAGGCTAATTTATATTAAGAAACCTGCTTTTAAGTTTCTCAATTTGTGCAATAGCTGGAAATAACACATCCAAATGTTTATTGAACTTTTCCCTTAAGACAGGTACTCTGCTAGGTTCTGGAGACATTACTTATAAAATGCAGTCTGTTCCAGTCGAGTCTCAAATGATTGCAAAAAAAGAGACCCACTCTAATTGGCTCACCTAAAGAAATACGTGCAAGCCACTCACTGCTTGGTATGATCAGCTGTGGCCAAGCTAGAGGAGCCAGTGGGAGACCATGGTCACAGGGTGCAAACTCCTCTGCCTTTGTGTTAGGGTTTTTGGAAAACTCAGATGAAATTTAGATGAAAACTGAAAGGAAATTACAGATAATTTTTTCAATGCCAAAAAGGCATCAAGAACTTGAATCATGCAATGATCTCTAAAGAAATAGAATCTGCAGAAGGGTTAATAGGCAAGCTCTAACAAACCCCAAAGAACAGAGCATGGAAATCTTAGTGCTTCCAGAGAACAGAAAAAGAGAGAACACTCCCTCAACTCATTTGATGAAACTTGAACAAACTTCATGACAAAAACAAGACAAAAATGTCTGAGGAAGGAACAATTATAGGCCAATATCACCCATCAACATAGATGCAAATAGTCCTTTACAATATATTAGTGAATAGAATTCAGCAACATACAAAAAGCATTATATGTCATGCCAAGTTGGAAATATCCTAGGAAGGCAAACTTGGTTTAATGTTAGAAAATGTACTGATGTAATCACCATGTTGACAGATTAAAGGAGAAAAGATGTATGGTTATCTCAATAGATAATAGAAAATTCAATATTTGTTAATAATTAGAACTCTTTGCAAACAAGGATAGATGGGAACTTCTCATAAAGGTATTCTTCAAAAGCCTGTAACACACATTCTTACATGTAAATATCGGCAATTTCTTTCTAAACGTCAAAACCAAGGTAAAAATGTCAGCTGTCTCTGACTTTTCAGCAGTGTGACAGACATCTTAGCCTGCACAGTAAGAAAAGAAGAAATTAAAAGTGTGAGGATTGAAAAGAAAGAAATAAAGCTAAGTATTTGCAGATGATATGGTCTTATAACAGAAAACCCAGAATACGGCTGAATTATTAGAATTTATATAGGAGTTAAATGGAGACAAAAAAAGAGATGTAAACATGCAGTCCTTTATTCTGATTTCTGCTCTTTTGGGTGTATTCTTAATTCTGAAATTAAAAAAAAAAAAAAAAAAAACTGGGGGCACCTGAGTGGCTCAGTCAGTTAAGCGTCTGACTCTTGATTTCGGCTCAGGTCATGATCTCATGGTTCACAGGATTGAGCCCGGCATTGGGCTCTGTGCTGACAGTATGGATGCTGATTGGGATTCTTTCTCTCCTCTCTCTCTGTTCCTCCCCCTACTTGTGTCATCTCTCTCTCTCTCTCTCTCTCTCTCCCTCTCCAAATAAATAAACTGAAAAAATTTAAAAATAAAAAAATGAAAAAGTATAACCCAGTGTTAATATTTAAGCTCTTCAAAATATATGAATAGCAGCAGAATACCCCCATGAAATGTTTAAATAGATGAACTCATCACCAGTAACTTTAGAGCACAGAGTACTGTGTTGGGGCCATGAAGCCCTTAACCATCTAGCCCCAGGCCATCTCTCTAGCTGCATCATGTCCCACCACCCACTCTCCTGCCACCACCCTCACTGTCTACCTGACAGGCCCAACAATATGCCGTTGCCCCTTATAGAGAGAGTTCTGCCCTACTTCTACCCCTTACCTGTCCCCCAGCGACTGCCTATCTACTACTTCTGGGGGAGCCTTCCCTGATCCTCACACTAGAGTATGCCCCTCTACAATCAGCTGCTATGATCCCCTGCTCTTCCCATTCCACATTACTGTTCCCATTTGTCCAGTGTCTAATTCCCTCAGTGGACTGTCAACCCCACGAGGGCAGGACCTGCTTCTCCACTGTGTCATAAGCACCTGCTAGAGGGCCTGACAAATACTGGGTGCTTAATATCTGAGAAAGAAAGGAAGATAGAGACGGAGAAAGAAAAATCTCTTTTCTGCACCAGAGAGAGAAGAAAGAGAACTTGTATATTAGGGGCTGTGTAGAGGGATGGTTGTGGGGAGAAGGAGGTATGGACTTTGCTTTCCAGGGAAATATCTCCATCCCATGGCATTTTAGAATATTATTTCTAAAACTTTTTAATGTTTATTTGTTTTTGAGAGAGACACAGAGTGTGAGCAGGAAAGGGACAGAGAGAGAGGGAGACAGAATCTGAAGCAGGCTCCAGGCTCTAATCTGTCAGCACAGAGTCCAGCGCGGGGCTCAAACTCACAAACTGTGAGATCATGACCTGAACCTAAGTCCGACACTTAACCAACTGAGCCACCCAGGCACCCCTAGAATATTATTATTTCTAAAGTCCACGTTGCCCAGTAGTAGCTTCCCAACCATAGACATAATGGGATCTTCTCTGAAAATTCCATTATCTTTTCAGTTATTACTGCTGAATTGCGTTGCTGGAAAAAAATGTTTGTAGGCAAAAATGTTAAAATTCCAAAATAAACTACCTCAGTGGTGACGGTTTGACATCATTCATTGGTCAGAAATTTGATTGTAATTAGGGGAGGTCACTTAGTAAAATAGAAAGATTATGGAATGTGGAATTAGAAGACCTGGATCCAAGACTTAGATGCTCAACTTACTGAATGAACCTCCAGCTTCAGGATCATCATCTATAAACAGGGGTGTTCTACACACCTTATGTTACCAGGACTAAAATATATGTTAAACTTAAAGTCTTACAAAATCTAAAGAGCTATACAAATAATAGCACTTATATAATAACTTGGAAGACTTTGGCCTTTGGTTTACTGGAAAGATGGTCATTATAATTTAAAATTAAAGGGAATTGATTAATAACACAATACAGTACAAATGTCATATTGAATAAATAAATTCTGGGACCAAAATAAACCATATTTCATCATATTACATTGTTAGAGTGGTGATACCAATCACATAGTTACCTGAATTGTTAAGCAAACACAGGATTTTGAGGTTTTTTTAATCACTCCATGGGAGTCTATTCATGAGACAAGAGAACCCCTAGGGTCCAGTTCTTTTCTAGAAAGGCAGAGTGAGAACAGTTTCAAATATACTTCGAAGCCCATTTCTTTGTGGCTTACTGGGTAACAGGCCAAAGCTTAAGGGAATCTGATTGGCAGGAGGATAGAGTAGATAGCAAGTAAATGGGGAGAAAAACGCTTTATGTATTTTATTTCCCTCCTCTTCAGTAAGCCCACTTTGGCTCTCTGGTGACACCTGCAGGCTAATGAGAGAATGCGACCTGAAAGCCTCATCAGAGGAAGAACAAAGTTGTCTAGGGCCAAAATCAGATTTCTAAAGCAGACTGTGATGTGTACATGAATCACTTGCATATTCTGTTCAAACCTGAATGCTCATTAAGTAGGTCTGGGGTGGGGCCCCCGATTCTGCAGATCTGTCTTCCTGGTAATGCTACAAGGCTGATAGGCCACAACCACGTGTTGAATAGCAAGGCTCCAAGGGATTTTCAAAGAGCACTGAATGTCACAGAAGGAAAGGATATCATCTTGTTCAGCCTCCTTATTTTCCAGGTGAAGAAGCTGAGGACAGCAAAAGAAGGCAGGTACCACCCACAAACGTGAACACGATTTCTTTGTTTTTTCATTTTAAGCAGGTTCTGTGCCCAACATGGAGCTTGAACTCATGACCCCAAGATCAAAATTCGCATTCTTTACCAACTTAGCCAGCCAGGTGCCCCACTACAAATGTGAATACTGTAAGCTGTTTCAGGTCTCATCCTGGCTCTTTTGTCTGTAATAGCAAATTATGTGAGCTGAGAAGGGCTTTCCAGTTCCACTATTTAACGACAGTATCACTCACCCAAAGCCACACTACTTAGACATGAAAATGGCTGTTTTGTACAATGGATGATATTTTCTCCCATTTTTCCTTGACGCGCTGCTGGCTGGGGAAGTAACCAGTTCTAGATGAAGTAGAAGATGTTCCTGAGTCCAAATGAAATTGATATTTCCCAGATGTAGGAGCCCAGTCAAGATTGCCAAAGGGACTCAAGGTCAGAAATTACCATAGGTTCTTCCTGTTGTCGTCTCTCACTGCAACAACAAAGAAAGGCCGGCTCCCAAAACAGTCATTCCAACACATCATCCACCAGCTTACAGTGGGCTTGCCTGAAGCCTGACCCTTACATTCCCCAGAGTATTCACTTCTCTAAGTTTTGTGGACATCCCAACCCATGCCTCAATTGCTCCCTCTACTCTTGCTATTAGGGAAATAAGTGGGACTATTGATTTTTAACTCAAGGACATTTAGAAACAAATTCAGCTGACTCTCAACTACATTAGATGAAATTGGTCCAAGTTTTGGAATGAATTACCTTGAAAAAGCAGCTGACACTGCACTTTATAATCCAGGAATTTGGAATGGATTACCCCAAAACCACAATTAATTGGGAGAATATGGAAACTAAGTACTGACTCATGGAATTCATTAACATTATCATTTAATGGTTAAGCTATATGAATTCAGAAAATGCAGAAATTGACACTTATGTGTATGAGCTGGCCTGGGGTCGTGGAAAATTCCCTGATCGGAAAAGCAGAAGATAAGAGCTTGTTGCCTGAATCTGCCAGTTACTAGATGTGTGTCCTGGGGCAAGCTATGTGGCCTTCCTAGGACTCAATGTCTATCTACACTTGTGGGTGACGGGGTTCTATTAGATGATCTCTTAGTTCCCTTCCAGTGCCAATGTTTTATGACTTCAAAACCTGTAAGAGACAACTCACATTTTCTACACAAGAAAAACGTTACTAGGAAGAACATTCTTGTACCTGAAGGCTGAGCACAGTTCTGCTCGGGAACTATATACATAGCTAGTTGCCTGCTTTCTGGTACCGTGATCATAATTAGCTGTTTCTTCAGCAAGTAGTGAGACAGGGAAACAAAAGGACCCCATGAAAAAAACTGCATTTTTTTGCTCCTTTTCCTGCTTCTATTCTTATTAGAACCTGTATCCTTGCCCTACACATGGTTCGTAGTACAGATAATGTTTGTTCTCCCTGTAGAGGTCAAGGACATAATGATTTCCTTGGAGTCTTCCAACAAACAGATAACACTTAAGGAGTGACTGGGTGAGGTCATCATTTACATGTTCCACCTTGACCCAAGATCCCTGGCTCCAGGGCATAAGTGACTTATGGGGAACACTTGAGCACTCTGTCCTTGTTCTGACCAGTTCTTGGATGCCTGAGAGGACACATGAACCACAGCACAATTATCAGTAAAACCCTAGACCTTAAACAAAGATGAGTCTCATTCTCCTTTTTCTTTCTGAGTCTCTCAGATGCTCTGTATATATCTGCTCTCTCTATATCTGCAATAAACTCTGTTCTCACTTCTTGCTGGCTCACATTTGACTTCTGTGTATAGCCAAGGACCCTCTTGACTGGCCCTAAGAGACCCCCTCTGGGTCCTGGGACCCAGCCTGCCTGCATCAGCATCACTGCATTTGGCACATAGCAGGACCTCATCAATGTTGAGTAAGTGAATGAAAAGGGTCAAGTCTTAATTTAGAAATTCTAAAATTCTGGGGGTGCCTGGGTGGCTCAGTCTGTTAAGCAACTGGCTTCGGCTCAGGACATGATCTCACAGTCTGTGAGTTCAGGCCCTACATCAGGCTCTGTGCTAACAGCTCAGAGCCTGGAGCTGCTTCAGATTCTGTCTCCCTCTCTCTCTACCCCTCCCCTACTAGCATTCTGTCTCTCTCTCAAAAATAAAATGAAAATGTTTTAAAAAAATAAAAAAAGAAATTCTAAAATTCTGGCAAAGTGTAAGAACACAATTCCCTTGATCCTACTTCCAGTTACTGTCCTGTCTGTCTCCTCTTCAGAACCAAATCTCAAAAGATGACCTGCTTCAGTGATATTATAATAGTGATATAGGATGACATGTGGTAATGAGCATATACTCATGATAACCATAGCATAACATAGAGAGAAATTGAATCGCTATGTGTACACCTGAAACTAATGGAACATTGTGTGTCAATTATACTCAAATTAAAAAAAAAATTTTTTTAAATGACCTGCTGACTCCATTTCCTCACATCCCACTCCCTTTCTCATCATGTTTCAATTGGACATCTACCCCTTTAAAGACACTTTAAAGTGTCTTTTTAAAAGAAATAGTCCTGAGCTTACCAGTGACTTACCAGTGAGTTGGTATGATATTGGGAAATACGTATACTTGGTCTTGGTCTCTGGTTCCTGGAATGGATCTTCTAAAACCCTTGTAATTTCCTGAGCAATAAGGATGAGGAGGATCCTTTTGGTACTCATAAGTCCCTTCCCACCATACCTGAGTTTATCCTGAGGTGACTCTTGGAGAATGAGGGCTGGTTACCTGAGGAATGAACCATTTGATTTGAGGGTTAGAACTTTAAGCCCCACTCTAATCTCTGGGAAAAGGAGAGAACATGAGCCTGAGTAAGTTACTAATGGCCAATAATTTAATCGGTTGTGCCTAATAATGGAACTTGCATAAAAATCCTAAACAATGAGATTGGGAGAGCTTCTCTCTAGATTGGAGGTGCTGGTTCTCTGGCCGGCCTGGAGAGGGCCCCTTCACTAAACCTTGCCCTCTCCCTTGCATCTCTCCCATTTGCCTGCTTCTGAGTTCTATGCTTTAGAATAAACTGATAATAGCAAGTAAAGTGTTTCCTTGAGTTCTGTGAGCCATTCTAGAAAATTATCAATCCAGAGGAGAGAGTCCTATAAATCAGGAAGTCCTGATTTATAGCCAGTTGGTCAGAAATATGGGAAACCCAGGCTAGAAATTGGCATCTTATGGGGCAATCTTGTGGGACTTAGCCCCTGACCTGTGGGGTCTGTGTTAACTCCAGGTAGTTGTGTCAGAATTGAATTAAATTGCAGGACATCCAGTTGGTGTCTACAGAGAATTAGAGAAATGCTTGTTGTGGAAAACCCACATGTTTGTTGTAAGTAGAGAAATTTTTCTTTAGTTGATAAACCAAATGGTCCTTCTGTAGTGTTTACTATATGTGATCACTTATCAGCATTCAGTTCTGTTGCTCATTGTCTCCTTTTTTTCCGTAATTTTGTTTTTGTTTTTTATTTATTTCTGAGAGAGAGAGAGACAGACAGTGTGAGCAGGGGAGGGTCAGAGAAAGAGGGAGACACAGAATCTGAAACAGGCTCCAGGCCCTGTGCTGGCTGTCCACACAGAGCCCAAAACGGGGCTCGAACTCACAAACCGTGAGATCATGACCTGAGCCGAAGCCGGATGCTTAACCAACTGAGCCACCCAGGCGCCCCTTTTGGTAATTTTTTTAATGTTTATTTTTGAGAGAGAGAGAAAGAGCATGAGCAGGGGAGGGGGAGAGAGGGAGAAAGACACAGAATCCGAAGCAGCCTCAGCTTGCTGTGCTGACAGCATCTGTGTGACAGCTCAGAGCCTGACATGGGGCTCAAACCCATGAACCTTGAGGTCATGACCTGAGCCGAAGTCGGACGCTTAACCGACTAAGCTACCAGGCACCCCCCACCATCTCCTTTTTATAGCACAATCACTGGCTTCCTTTACACCACACTTCTTTGGTTTCCCTCAACTTCTGTGGCTGCTTATTCTAGGTCTCCTTTACAGGCTCCCCCTTCCCTCTCCTCATTCCACCACTAAATGCTGGAATTCCTCACGACTTGGTTCTATGAGCACTCCTTGGAGTTCCATGAGTCTATATGCTACTAACTCCCAAATGAGTATCTTTAGACCAGACATCTCCTCTGAACCCCAAGTTTCTATTTCCAATGGCCTACATTATTACCCATATATCACAAAGTCAGTCCATCAATATGGCCACTTCACCAATAAGAAAACAAACAACCTGATTAAAAATTAGGCAAAAAATTTGAACAGATACTTCAGCAGAGAAGATATATGTATGTAAATAAATGCATGAAAAGACATCCAACACCATGCAAACCACCCCACTATGCATCCAGTAGAATGACCACATTTTTTAAAAAACAAAAAAATGACAATACCAAGTAGTGATGAAGATGTGGGGCACCCAGAATTCTCACGCCTTACTAGTGGGAATGCAAACAGGCACAATGATTTTAGAAAATAGTTTAGCAGGTTTTTTTTTTTATAGTTAAACATATACTGATTCGGGCCAGCAACCCCAATTCTGGGCATTTACTTTAGAGAAATGGAAAACTGATGTTCACGTTAAAAACAAAAAAACTGCACATGAATCTTTCTTGCAGCTTTTTTCATAAATGCCCCAAAGTGGAAACCCAAATGTCCTTCAGTGGGTGAGTGGATAAACAAATTGTGGTATACTTATACAGTGCAAAAAATTCCTACTACTTAGGAATTTTTTTTAAAATGAAATATTGATACACATGACATCACAGAGGGATCTCAAATGCATTATGCTAAGTGAAAGAAGCCAGATCCAAAAGATAATATACTGTATCATTCCATTTATCTGACATTCTTGGAAAAGTAAAATTATAAGGCCCAAGCCTGTATCAGTGATTCCCAGGCTTTAGGAGTACAAAGAACAGCATGCAGGAAGTTTTGGAGATGAAATTATTAGGTATCCCGATAGTAGTAGCAGTTATGTGAATCTATGCATTTGCCACAACTCAAAGAATATTTCTCCCACTCCCACCTCCCAAAAAAATCCCTGAACTTTACTGTATGCCAATTAAAAAAATTTTTTTAATCTTTATTTATTTTTGAGAGAGACAGAGACAGAGTGTGAGTAGGGGAGGGGCAAGGAGAGAAGGAGACACAGAATCTGAAGCAGGCTTCAGGCTCTGAGCTGTCAACACAGAACCCAACCCAGAGCTTGAACTCATAAATGGTGAGACCATGACCTGAGCTGAAGCCAGATGCTTAACCAAGCGAGCCACCCAGGCACCCCAACTGTATGTCAATTTTTAAAAATTATAATACAGTATTTTCAAAACTGTATCCAGGATCCACAACCATTCATGACCACCATCACATGCTGGCCCTCTGCCATCCAGTACTCCCTAGTGCGATGGACTTCCCACCACTGTCCAGCTGGCATGCTAATAGCCCTCTCTCGCCTGCCCCTCCATCCAGCGCATCACCTCCCCCTTCCTGCAGCTCTCCACTGCACTTACACCTCCTCAGCCCACACCACCAACTCCCTTAGGTAACTTCAATACCTTCCCAGCTGGCCATACCATTTCTACTCTTGCCTGCCTGCAATCATTTTTCCATACAGTGGGCAGAGAGAACTTTAAAAAATATAAACTTGGGCGCCTGGTGGCTCAGTCAGTTAAGTGTCAGACTTCAGCTCAGATCATGATCACATGGTTCCTGAGTTCGAGCCCCTCATTGGGCTGTCTACTGTCAGCACAGAGCCTGCTTCAGATCCTCTGTCCTGCCCCCCACCCTCTTACTCTGCCCATCCTCTGCTTGTTCAAAAAAAAAAAAAATACAAACTTGGTCTTTTCATTCCCTTGAGAAAACTCTTTCAACAAATTCCCATTGTTCTTCCGATGAAATTCAGAATCTGCTTCGTCTGGCCTGTGTCCCTCTCCCCAGCCTCACCTGGTGCCTCCACTCCCCTCTCTCCCTGCACTCTCCCGCTTCAAAAGAAGCACCAAGGTCTATCAGGCCTCAGAGTCTTTGACACACTCTTCCTTGAGGCTAGCAGTTCTTCCCACTAGTTACCCTGTTACATTGATAAACTACAATTTATATGTTCAATTTCAGTTCAAATGCCTTCTTCTCTAAGAGCTATGGGCTCCCTCCAAACTAGGTCAGCTTTTTTTTTTTTTTTTTTTTTAAGAAAAAGAGAGAGTGAGCAGGGGAAGGGCAGAGGGAAAAGAGACAGAGAATCTTAAGTAGGCTCTATACCAAGCATGGAGGCTGATTTGGGGCTCACTACCATTAGATCATGATCTGAGCAGAGATCAAGAGTCAGACACTCATGGGGCACCTGGGTGGCTCAGTTGGTTGAGCATCCGACTTCAGCTCAGGTCATGGTATCACAGTGTGTGAGTTTGAGCTCCGTGTCGGACTCTGTGCTGACAGCTCAGAGCCTGGAGCCTGCTTCTGATTCTGTGTCTCCCTCTCTGCCCCTCTCCTGCTCTGTCTCTCTCTCTCTCAAAAATAAATAAACATTATATATATATATATATATATAAAGAGTCAGACACTCGCTCAACTGACTGAGCCACCCAGGCATCCTGCTTTTTAAAAAAAAAATTTATTTATTTACTTACTTACTTATTTAGAGAGCGAAAGAGAGGAGGGGCAGAGGGAGAGGGAGACAGAATCCCAAGCAAGCTTCATGCTGTCAGCACAGGGCCTATGTGAGCCTGATCTCACCAACCATGAGATCATGACCTGAGCTGAAATTACCAGTCGGTCACTTAATGGACTGAGCCACGCAGGCGATCCCACCCGTTTTTGTTTTTTTAATACCTTCTTATTACCCTGCCATTTTTCCTTCAGGGCACTTGTAACAATTTGTAACAAGAATAAAAATTTCCCATCCTCCTAAAACAAGACAGTGGTTCTCAAATTGTGGTCTAAGGACCAACAGCATCAGCATCTCCTGGGAACTTGTTGGCAATGCAGATTATCAAACACAGTCTAGTCTTTATAAATCAGAAACTCCAGAGAAGGGATTTTGACTTCTGTGTTTCAACAAGCTTTCCAGATGATTCCATAAAACACTAAAGCTTGAGAACCACCCTTCTAGTAAATAACTGATTATTTTATGGCCATGGTAATGAAACCCACAGAACTGGGTTTAGACCTGTTTAATCAAGGATAACTCACTTGGGGGGCACCTGGGTAGCTAGCTCAGTTGGTTAAGCGGCTGACTTCGGCTCAGGTCATGAATCTCACAGTTCGTGCATTGGGGACCCGTGTCAGGCTCTGTGCTGACAGCTAACTCAGAGCCCGGAGCCTGTTTCAGATTCTATGTCTACCCCTCTCTCTCTCTGACCCTCTCCTGCTCACGTTGTCTCTCTCTCTCTCTCTCTCAGAAATAAATAAAAACAAGGGAGGGGCAAGATGGCGGAGAAGTAGGGAGCTCCGTACCTGCACTCGCGCCCATGCCTTACACGGAAAAGATCTGAAGCCATAGGAAACTGTACGGAACCCAAGAGATTGGGAGAAAAAGGACGCAGATTACACTGAGAAAGCCTTCTAACGGCTACCTAAAGAAACAAGCCAAAGTACACATGGTGGAGAGGCCCAAATATCACTACGAGTAGGAAAACAAAAA